CCATCAATACCTCAGCCATCTGGGAGGTCGGTTACTTTTGCGCCACGCATACTCGCTCGTGAAGCGTACCTCGTTACCACGCTCGCCACATCCAACATAAACAATGATGTCGCTGTTGGAGAACTTTGACAACGCTTGCGAAATGACGGTCTTGCCACATCCGAAAGCGCCAGGGATCGCAGTCGTGCCACCCTGCACACAGCTGAAGGTGCATCAATGACCACTCCATGCAAGCTTGCACACAACTCACGGGAAGAGGGCGTCCAAAATACGCTGACCAGTGAGAAGCGGGTGATCGGCGGTGTGCTTTTCCGTGACGGGACGCGGCGCGCGCACAGGCCATAGCTGCATGAGGGTATGCTGCGTCGTCTTTCCATCGAACTCTGTCTCAAGCACAACGTCCTATGAGTATTAGCACAGGTTATACCCTCAGTGACTGCCCAACCGCTTACGTCGACCTTGTAGCTGCCCTTCTCCGCAATATGCGTGATAGTACCGAGTGCTCTCGGGGGCAGCATGATCTTGTGGTTGTTCAAGAGCGAGTTCTCATAGACACCACCGTAGATATCACCACCAGTGATGTGGTCGCCGACCTGGGTGAGTACGTTGAGTTACAGTGTTGGCAGACTGCTGTAGACCCACCTTGTATGTGGTCGGGGTGAAGTCCCAGGAGAGCGAGCGGTCGAGCGCGTCTGTGTTGATACCTCGGGGAATGTAGATGGACTTTGAGAGTTCTTGGATGCCCTGTAAAGCGCTGAGAAAGGGGATGCACGTATGGATCATCGTCGACGCACGCGTAGCGGGCGCTGGATTCCATCCACGATGTTCCCCATGAGACCTAAGCGCCTGTTAGTTGTCGTATGCGGATAATGTCTTCACCACATACCAGGGCCAAGCTCGACACTCAACGGCTTCCCTGTCCTCAATACTGGGTCGCCCACAGTAACTCCAGAAGTCTCTTCGTAGACCTGAATAGTCGCCTTGTCCGCCTCGATACGGATGACCTCTGGACGCGCGTCAGACCTAGCTAGCAGAGGTTCTGGCCACGCGTACCTCCGACGAGCTCATCGTGGCCCACGCGCACGAGCTCGTACATCGCGGCGCCTATCATGTTCTCTGCAATGACGACGGGGCCGGAGACGCCAAAGACCTGGCCGAACCTGCTCTCGCGCTCCTCGTCGCTGATCTTGGGAGATCCCGTTTGGCGTTCTGCATGGCGCCGGCCATCTTTGATTATCGTCGGAGGAGGAGAAGGGCGAGTTCAGCAGGATGAGCAGAGGAGGCACCGTCACGCCGCCACGCGAGACAAAGCACGGAACTTGCCGAGGTGACGCGTCGCTGCTGGTCAGCGAGCGCCAGACGCGTCAACCGCGACTTGTTCACCAACCACCATGCCGCCTAAAGCGTGAGTGTCTATTGTGCGCGGGGAAGGCATGTACTGACTACTCTACAGTGACTGGGAGAAGTGTACGTACCCAAGAGAGTACATTTACAGGACGCTTACCGTGCTCCAGACGAGAAGAAGGGCGAGGACAAGGACGAGAAACCAATCGTCGCGCTCGATGACAGCGACATCCAGATTCTCAAGACATACGTGCGTGGCAACTATCTGCATGTCCTTCAGACCTCACACATTGCACAGGGTCAAGGACCGTACGCACGAACGCTCAAGGTAGTCGACGACGACATCAAGGAGATTCAGAAGCGCATAAACGAGAAGCTCGGTGCGTACATCATCCAAGCCATGATCCTCCCCTTACACTGCTGCAGGCGTCAAGGAGTCTGATACTGGTCTTGCGTCCCCCAACCTCTGGGACCTGGCAGCAGACCGGCAACGCATGTCGGAGGAGCACCCCCTCCAGGTCGCACGCTGCACAAAGATCATCCCCATGGACCCCGTTGCAGCAGAGGCTGCAAAGGCCGTCAATGCACTAGGCGCACTACAGGGCCAGAAGGGCGCGGACGAGCAGGACAAGTATGTCATAATATCAAGCAGATTGCCAAGTTCGTCGTCGGTCTCGGCGACCGCGTTGCGTCCTCGGATATTGAGGAGGGCATGCGCGTTGGGTATGTGGACCTTATACCTCATGCGCATCCGTCTAACGGTGTCCAGTGTCGACCGGACGAAGTACCAGATTCAAATCCCATTACCACCAAAGATCGACGCGTCCGTCACGATGATGCAGGTCGAAGAGAAGCCCGACGTGACTTACTCCGACGTTGGTGGCTGCAAGGAGCAGATTGAGAAGCTGCGCGAGGTCGTCGAGACCCCACTCCTCTCACCGGAACGCTTCGTCAAGCTTGGTATCGACCCGCCCAAGGGTGTTCTGCTCTTCGGTCCCCCAGGAACAGGGAAGACCCTCTGTGCTCGCGCGGTCGCGAACCGGACGGACGCCACCTTCATTCGTGTCATCGGCTCCGAGCTTGTACAGAAGTACGTCGGCGAGGGTGCGCGCATGGTGCGCGAGCTGTTCGAGATGGCACGGAGCAAGAAGGCCTGTATTATCTTCTTTGATGAGGTGGATGCTATTGGTGGCGCACGATTTGACGACGGTGCTGGGGGTGACAACGAGGTGCAGCGCACCATGCTGGAACTCATCAACCAGTTGGACGGTTTCGACCCTCGAGGGAATATCAAAGTGTTGATGGCCACTAACCGGTAAGACTCGCCATTCCTGTCGCGTACGTCTCATACTTATGCCCACCAGACCCGATACTCTTGACCCCGCGCTTCTCCGTCCTGGTCGTCTCGACCGGCGCGTAGAATTCTCTCTGCCGGATAACGAGGGTAGAGCACATATCCTTCGCATCCATGCACGGAGGTGAGTCTTCATAATGCTGTCATGGACATAGCTGAGACAGCTTCCAGTATGAGTGTAGAAAGGGATATTCGTTTCGACCTCATTGCGCGGTTGTGTCCCAACACGACCGGTGCTGAGCTTCGGTCCGTAGCCACCGAGGTATGTCACACAACTCCGCCTGCCTTCGTCGACTCACCAGTACCCAGGCTGGTATGTTTGCGATCCGTGCCCGCCGAAAGGTCGCTTCCGAACGCGACTTCTTGGACGCTGTAGAGAAGGTTGTGAGGCAAGGCACAAAGTTTTCCAGCACGTACGTCTTGCCTGTTTCTATCGCCTTTGTCTAATGCTGACGACCTTGCAGCCCTCTCTACCAAGTGTACAATTAGACCGCATCCACTTAGTTGTATTCTACGCATTACCCTTACTATTATACTTGCCGTGTCTCTATCAGTGTGTTTGCACTCAAGGCCGCTAGAGCTAAGAGTCTACAAAGGCCTGGAAAGTCACCTGCGCACGGGCGCTTCGTTGACTCGTGCGGTCACGACATGCTCCTCCGTCGAAGCTTCGCGCCGCACTGTCATTCTCTTCACCCTCTCCCCACTCCATGAATCACCTCATGCGCCGCGCGTACCGCCGCGCGCCTGCCGCCAACTCGACGGAGTTGACGCAGATGCTCGCGGCGTACGCCTCCTCGCAGTCGCGCCCGATCAACCTCTCCCAGCTCCTCTCCTTCGGCCGTCCGCTCCAGCCTGCGTCCGTCCTGCAGTCCGTGCAGTACGTGCTCGCGGAGATCCCGCGGCGCCTAGCGCACCGCGTGCAGACCATTGAGGGCCTGCCGTTCATCGTGGGGACGAACCCGTACGTGGCGAACGTATTGGCGGCGTACAAGGAGAGCTTTCTAAGTCTTGCGACGCACCCGCCGGTAACGACTCTCGAGGACAATGCGGTGTTTGCGGAGCACCTAGAAGAGTTGGTCGACAGGCATGCTGATGACATTCCGGCGATGGCGAAGGGGTGCGTGCAATGTGCTTGGTGCGGGGAGGGGGCTGACAATGTGCATAGATTCCAGGAAAGCTCTAAGTACATGTCGCCGGCGCAAATGTCCGACTTTCTGGATGGTGCATTCCGTAGCCGCATCTCCGTGCGGTTGCTGGCGGAGCAGCACATCTCCCTTTCGCGCGCACTGAACGATCCGAGTGTGGACAAGTCGCACGTCGGCGTCGTCGACGTGCGCTGCTCGCCCGCCAAGATGATTCGTATGTGCGCGTCCTTCGTCTCGGAGCTGTGCGAAGCGACTCTCGGCTCGACACCCTCGGTTCACATCGATGGCTTCGCGGACGCCACCTTTGCGTGCGTATGCGCATACATGCATCCCCCCGCACCATCGCTAACCCCGCCACCCTCACCAGATACATCCCCGTGCACGTCGAATACATCCTCACCGAGATCCTCAAGAACGCTTTCCGCGCCACCGTCGAGCATCATCAGCACCACCATCACGGACATCTCCCACCAATTTCCATCACCCTCTCCCCGCCGCCACGGACAGGACATGAGCCCGGGAAGCCCTCGCCCAAATTCTTCTCCATCCGCATACGCGACCAGGGCGGAGGGGTTGCTCCCGCGAACATGGCGCACATCTTCTCGTACGCGTTCACGACCGTCGGCCGCAAGGTCGGCGAGGTCTTTGACGAGACTGAGGGCGGTCCCTATGCAGCGCAGCACGTCAGTGGAGGTGGCGCCATTGGGGAGGGCGCGGGCGACCTGTTCGGCGAAGTGACGCGGAAGGGGGTGCAGACCGGGCTCGGCACGCTGTCGGGGCTGGGGTACGGGCTACCGCTGGCGCGGCTGTATGCAAAGTGGGTCTACTTTGTGCGGGATGTTTGAAGCGATGCTCACGCGAACTTTGGCAGCTACTTTGGTGGATCGCTGGAGCTCGTGTCATTGGAGGGATGGGGTAGGTGGTATACGTCTACTTTGCGTCGCTCACTGCTGATCCGTGTGCTACAGGGAGCGATGTGTTCGTCAAGCTTCGGTGTTTAGACGAGGCAGGAGACGCTGCAATATAGAATGTCATGCTGACGACCCTGGCTTTCGCGAGGGATCTGGTATCCGAGTCTCCAATGCGCTGCGGGTCGGCTGAGGAGGGCGCGAACAGTTTTTTTCTGTTGTGGGCGCACGACGACGAGGGCTCACATCGCCCGCCTAGCTCAATCGGATAGAGCGTCAGACTCTTACAGTCAAGGCTTGGGTATCTGAAGGCTGTGAGTTCGACCCTCACGGTGGGCTAATCTGCTTTTTGCCATTGATTTTTGGCCCTTCTGGACACCCAATTGCATATCCGCGAATTTGATCTCGGTGTGTAAACCATGAAGTACAACCTGAGCCTCTTCCACGGCACTCATGCTAGTCCCCTCACTGACCTGCAATTCAGCCGAAAGGCCGCCTGTGACCCAAGCAGCATCATGCGAACGCCGATGAAGGCTGACAGATCCTCCGGCGACTTGGTCATCGTCTCCGAGAGAAGTCGAGGAAGTGACGCCACACCGTATAACATGCGCAAGGTCGACTGACCACGACATCTTCTCAAGTCACCATGTCTGCCAGCGTTCTTCGCCCTCTCTTTGTGGTTGCTGGCTGCGGCAACGGGTCCGGTACCGGCGCCACCGCGGCGCGTACCTTCGCCAAAGCTGGGTACAGTGTTGCCCTCATTGCACGAGGCGCTGACTCCCTCAACGCCCTCGCGCAAGAAATCAAGACCTCAGGAGGCTCGGTACGCGCTACATTCAATATATCTATGAGTCTGGTCCCGTCCTCATATGCATCCTGCCACCCAGGCGGCTCCCATTCCCGTCACTGGATATGGGGCGTCCGACTTCACGAAGGCATTCGCCGCCATCGACGAGGCTTTCCCCTCGAGCGAGTACGTCCTGCGCGCCGCCCTTTGGAACGCCGGTCACGCCGTGTTCAAACCCTTCCTTGACACGCGCGTCGAGGAGCTGGAGACGACCCTGCAGACGAACGTCGTTGGCGCATTTGCCTTCTCGCAGGAAGTCGTGCGCAAGCTGAAGGAGAATGAGGCGGACCCGTCGACTGGGCGAGGGACACTCATCTTTACGGGTGCTACAGCTTCTGTACGAGGCAACCTGATGACCTCCGCGTTTGCGTCTGCGAAGCACGGACTGCGCGCCTTATCCCAGAGCATCGCGAAAGAGTTCAATAAGGACGGGATTCATGTGAGTGTACCCTTCAAAATCCAGCGTAATCTGCTTTGACACCATCGACGCATCTTTAGGTTGCCCATGTAAGTATTTGGCGTTACCCGAGAACTCCTACCGGTACTGAGCACCACCATGTCAGGCAATCATCGACGGCGGGATACAGAACACGAATTATCCTGGGCGTGAGCTTCCTACGGGTCTCAAGCCGGAGGCCATCGCGCAGGTAAGTCTTATGCTTGATGCAGACGCGGAGCAAAGATGGTGAACGTAGTCAGGCGTATCTCTACTTGGCGAGTCAGGAAAAATCTGCGTGGACTTGGGAGCTCGACCGTATGTATGTCTATTGAGGGGTGTGAAGACCTGCTAACAAACCCGCCAGTGCGCCCCTCAGAGGAGAAGTGGTAGGACGCCAGGGCCAATTGCGACTGCTGTTCATTCGTCACATATGTTGTTCGCGAGGATAGGTTGTGTGGAACGCTCGAGCTTAGTACATACTTGACATTGATGTACTTAGAAATACGTAGTGACTTGCATGCTCCCGTAATTCATTTCTTGCGACCGATGAGCTTTAAAGGTGCAGGCAACTCGTCTGACTTGTACCGGAATGATGAACATGAAGCTAAAGCTCAACCAAGTGAAGTCCTTTGGAAGTCCTGGTCAAGTTGAAGTTCATCACTGGCAAATCACTGGCAAGGTCCAAGCTGAACTTGGGACTCGGCCCGATCGTTCCGCTGTGCACACATCTTTGCTGCATCTTTGTTTTCGACTGTCATCATGTTAGACGAGTCCGCACCCAAGCGCCGCCGCCTACAGCGCTCCCCCACGCCAGAAGTACCCCCAGAGGACGAGGACTATGTCCCTTATGTTCCCGTCGCTCAGCGCAAGCAGGCCAAGCTCGCCAAACTCACGTCCTGGAGCGGAAATCGAGACGCAACCCAAAGCAAGCGCGCCCTCGCCGAGGCGTTGGAACGCGAAGAGGCTGAGAACGAAGAGGAGGAAAGGCGCAAGGAGAAGGCTCGCATAGAGCGCACGCTCCTGCTGGAGGCGCAGGAAGTGCATCTACGGAAAGCCGCCGAGGGTACGTCCCGCGCCCGCACTACCCACGCCAAATCTAACCGCTACTACCCAGACTCCCAGAAGTCCGAGCACCAGAGGAAAGAAGAGGAAGATGCACAGCTACTGGAGGCGATCAAGAGTCGGCGAAAGCTCGCGTCGGATATGGAGCTAGCACAAGGTATCCAGTATACGGAACCGCTCAAGGCAAGGTAAGGCTTCCGAGCGCGTGGGGGGACGAGGATATACTGACTCTGCATCGTAGTTGGCGTGCACCACACTACATTCGCGACCGGACCGAAGAAGAGAACGAACGGATACGCCAGAAACATCACATCCTGATCGAAGGGAAGGACATACCGCCTCCGGTTGAGCATTTCGAGGTAAGTGCATGTCTCCCACATTCAGTACCCGTTCTCAATAGCTGTCAGGATATGAAAATACCTCGTCCAATCCTCGACTATCTCAAGTTAAAACGCATCATCGACCCGACACCTATCCAGATCCAGGGCATACCCACTGCGTATGAGCTTCACCGTCTGCTTCTCTCATCTGCTCATTTTTCAGTTTCTCAGGACGTGACATTATCGGTATCGCCTTCACCGGGTCTGGCAAGACGCTTGCGTTCTGTCTTCCGCTGATCATGGTGGCGTTAGAGGAAGAAATGAAGCTCCCCTTCGTCCGCGGTGAAGGACCTGTTGGCGTCATTCTCTGTCCCTCGCGCGAGCTTGCGAACCAGACTTACGAGAACGTCGTGGCATGGTGCAGTGCGCTTGCCAAGGAAGGACGCTACCCGCAACTGAACACCTTGCTCTGCATCGGCGGCATCTCCATGAACGACCAGAGCCATGTCATGAGCAAGGGCATACATATCGTTGTCGCCACCCCTGGGCGACTAATCGACATGCTAGAGAAGAAGCGCCTGACGTTCAACAACGCGAAGTATATGTGCATGGACGAAGCGGATCGTATGGTCGACCTTGGCTTCGAGGAAGATGTCCGCAACATCATGAGCTACTTCAAGGTTCGTTCTTTCCCGCCTTGCTGTCTTCGCCTTGCTGACACATCTTGCAGCGTCAGCGTCAGACCCTTTTGTTCTCCGCGACGATGCCCACGAAAATTCGGGACTTCGCGCAGCAGTCCTTGATTCAACCCATCCTGATCAACGTCGGACGTGCGGGAGCAGCGAACTTGGACGTGCTACAGGTACTTGTGCTTCCTATCGCAGCAGCGGAACATCGTAATTGAACGCGCCCAGGTGGTCGAGTACGTCAAGCAGGAAGCGAAGATGGTGTATCTCCTCGAATGCTTGCAGAAGACTCCGCCGCCAGTCATTGTTTTCAGCGAGAACAAGAACGAGGTCGACGGTGAGATGCTCACCGTTCACAACTGCATCGAAGCTCAATGCTCCTCAGACATCCAGGAATACCTCCTGCTGAAGGGAGTCGAAGCCGTCGCCATTCACGGCTCTAAATGTATGTTAGGATTGACCTTTATCACTACAGCGACGCTAATTCTTCGTCCACAGCTCAGGAAGAGCGCCAGTACGCCATCAAGTCGTTCAAATCCGGCGCGAAGGATGTCATGGTCGCGTCCGGTGTCGCATCCAAAGGGCTCGACTTCAACGAGATTCAGCACGTCATCATCTTCACCATGCCCAAGGAGATTGAGGATTACGTCCACCAGGTGCGAGGACCGCTGTCGCGGCGCCACCTGTCACTGACGTTCGCAGATCGGTCGCACGGGCCGTAGTGGGAAAACCGGAATCGCGACGACGTTCGTCAACATGAATACGCCCGAGCAGACGCTGCTCGATCTGAAGTACCTGCTCATGGAGGCAGGACAGAAGTACGTCGGTCCCTTTGTTTACGTGGGCGGCGCGAGGCCGCCTGCGCGCGGGCTTCACACCCTCAACCGTTGCGAACTGATAGCTAACATGTTCATTAGGGTTCCACCGTTTCTCCTGTCGATCGAGGATCCGCGCGCCGCGCAGGGCGGAGGTGCACTCAAAGGATGTGCTGTCTGTGGCGGTCTTGGTCACGGGATTTCGAACTGTCCGAAGCTCGAGGAGACTCAGCGACGGACAATGCAGTCACATCGGATGACGGCCGATGGAGACAGCGGTTATTAGGCCATCTTTGGGGTTTTTATCTTTGCTGTTCTGCTCTTAATGTACTTCACTAGCACTGTCACTGTTGTGCATGCCTTGTTTGCTTTGTTTGTCACTCCATTGTTTGGTCTCCAAGGGAAAGCACAATAGCATTGAGTACAGCAACACACCAAGATATCAACAAGCACTATGAAGTCCATGGCTATGTAGCAAGATATAGTAACCCCATCAGAATGCAAAAATATGAAGGCTCACAACAGCCCACTAGCTAGCAGGCTGTTGTCAGTATACATACCAGTACAGTAAGATAAAGTAATTGTTAGTAATTCATATGTGACTGGGTGGGCACAACACCTAGATGATCATTGTAGCCCTTGTAGGGGTACTGATAGTGGGGTGGGTAGGCGTGATAGCCCCAACCCCATGTTGCAATGTAGGGAACACCCATGTCTACCTGCGCAGGTACAGAGACTGGGCAGACGATGGAATGGGAGGGGGCCTGCTCGCCGGGCTTGGGGTAGAGCGACGGGTGGGTATAGAATACCGGCTGAACCGGCGGGGCTGTGGGGAAATGGCATGGGGGTGGGGGTGGGGGCGGCATCTGGGGCTCGTCCGGCGATCGCGGAAGACCTGCGAGGTCATCCTGATCTGAGGTCGGTGTCAGCGACAGCGGGCGAGCCAGCGCACGGGGGACGCACCTCTTACATCACGCTTCCTGTAAGGGCCACGCTTCGTACCCTTCTTCCTCTCCTTGCGCTGCGAGTTGACACAGCGCTCGGGTACACCGTAGCGGACGCAACGAAGGCAGGGACGCGCTTCGTCGCATTTCTTGCACGACTTCTGGCAGAGCGTGCACGCGTTCTTGACCTGACGGCGCTTAGACCGGGTGGTTGGCTTGGGAGATG